CCAAAGGCACATTCTACCACCATTCTGCACTTGCTCAGCCTATAGTTGAACTGCTCCTTACTACTGTCCAGGCTGCCTGTGTGCGGCTTCATGAGCCATGGTAGCAAGGGGTCCCCAAGAATAACTATTGGCATTTCAACTTCCTCAATGGTAATTTTCTGTTCTGGGAAGTAAGTCCCTTCTTGCAGCTGCTTGAACAGCCCAGAGTTCCTAAAGATGCGAGCGTCATGCACCTTTCCTGGCCATCACACGTTAATGTTGGTGAAACGTCCCTTGTGATCCACCAGTGCTTGCAGCACCATTGAGAAGTACCTCTTGCAGTTTACGTACTGGCTGGCAAGGAGGTCCGGTGCCAAGATAGGGATATGTGTTCTGTCTATTGCTCAACCACTGTTAGGGAACCCCATTGCAGCAAAGCCATCCAGTATGACCTGCACATTTCCCAGAGTCACTACCCTTGAAAACAGAACGTCACTGACTGCATTGGCTTCTTGTATCACAGCAGTCCCCACAGTAGATTTGCCCACTCCAAATTGATTCCCGACTGACCGGTAGCAGTCAGGCATTGCAAGCTTCCGTAGGGCTATTGCCACTCGCTTCTCAACTGTCAGAAAAACTCTCATCTTGGTATTCCTGCGCTTCAGGGCGGGGGGAAGCAGCTCACAGAGTTCCAGGAAAGTGGCCTTACGCATGCAAAAGTTTCGCAGCCACTGTCAATCATCCCATACCTGCAACACTATGCAGTCCCACCAGTCTGTGCTTGTTTGCCTGGCCCAGAATCAGCATTCCACTGTATCAACCAGTCCCACTGCCACCATGATGTACCAATTGCCACATCCCATGCTTTCAGGAACATCTGTGTCCACGTCCTCCTCACAATCGTCCTTCTGCTGGCGTCTCTTACCCCAGTTCTGCACATACACCAGGATAATGCGCGAGGTGTTTACAATGGTCACAACAGCAGCGGTGAGCTGAGCGGGCTCCATGCTTGCCATGGTATGGCGTCTGCATGGGTAACCCAGGAAAAAAGGTGCAAAACAATTTTCTGCTGTTGCTTTCATGGAGGGAGGGGCGACTGACGACATGTACCCAAAACCACCCGCAACAATGTTTTTGCCCCATCAGGCGTTGGGAGCTTAACCCAGAATTCCAATGGGCGGCGGAGACTGTGGGAGTGCTACCCACATTGCACTGCTCTGTGAGTTGATGCTAGGCACAGTATTGAGGATGCACTCCGTCAACTTAATGTGCTTAATGGGGACATGCACAATGGACTATAAAAAATCAATTTCTAAAGATCAACTTCTATAAAATCGACCTAATTTTGTAATGTAGACATACCCTTAATGTAATAATGGAGCAACCAGAGTTCCTTATTTGGGATACTGTGTAGGGGGAGATCAAATAACCCCGGATCCTTTGGAAGTTGAAGACACTGTAAATTGGCCTGTATCCCAAACCAAAAAACAGGGCCAATCATTCCTAGGTCTGGAAATCTATTATAGAAGGTTTGTGTGTGTGGGTTCAGTGACACTGTATCTGCAATCACAGATTTATGTAAAAAGACCCAGCCAAAGAAAGTCATTTGGATGAAAGCATGCCAGGAAGGATTTGATAAGGTAAAGAAAATCTTGTCAGAAAAGCCTGTTCTACCTAGACCTGATTTTGACAAACTGTTTGAACTGTGTATAGATGCATCGGCCATTGGCCACAAGGGCCACATGAGGGCTAGTACTGAGGGCCGCACCACTGACCTCCCTCACCGCTGCCCCGTCCCCACCTCCACTCCACCCCTTCCGTGAGGCCCTGTCCCTGCCCTGCCTCTTCCCACCCCTTCCCTGCCCCCATTCCAACCCCTTCCCTGAAATCCCCACCCCAACTCCGCCCCCTCCCTGCCCCCAGGGGGTGCAGGAGTGGTGCAGGGTGCATCAGGGGACTCAGGGCATGGGGTTGGTGTGCAGGAGGGGTGCAGGGTGCATCAGGGGGCTCAGGGCAGGGGGTCAGGGTGCAGAAGGGGTGTGAGGTGTGTCAGGGGGCTCAGGGCAGGAGGTTGGGCTGCAGGAGGGGTTTGGAGGGCAGGTCCGGACTGGCACGCACCGGGAGCAGGGCAGGCTCCCTGCCTGCCTGCCCTGCCACCGCTCCGGAAAGTGGCCGGGACCTGCAGGAGGGGGAGGTACAGGGGTCTGTGTGTTGCCCTGGCTGCTCCTCCAGGTATCTCCCAGAATTAGAGCTGCGCTGACAGTGGAGAAGCGAGCGGCAATCGCACTGTGGAAACTTGCGCTGTGGAAACAGTGAGCAGGAATCCATTTGGAGTCGGGAAATCCTCTGCAGGGGCCATTGTGATACAAGTGGGTGGGGCCATTAATCATCTCCAGCTATGCAGGACTGTGTCTCTCAGCAACGTGCAGGACATAGTGGATGGATTTGCAGCAATGGGCTTCTGTCAGCAGTCTCTGATGTAGTCTCACATGGGGTCTCTACTGTTCCCTATCTGGCTTTCTTTGCTTAGCCCCCGATCAGGACAGTTCTTAGCCCCCTGGCCTCTAATTAGGCCCTGGAGTCTGCTTTGGTCCCTTTGGGCCTTGTTTCTGGAGGCAGCCTGGTGCAGAGAGGTTGCCCTTTCACTGTCCCAGGCCTTTCTGCCCCCTTTCCTCCTCTGAGCCCTCTCCTTTTATAGCAGGCCTTGTTTCCCTTATTGGTTGGAGCTGTGGGTGCCTGCCTCCATGACTGGCAGTTGTGGCAGCTGCACAGGGGTGTGATCAGCCTCCCCTCCCACTTCTGCATCTACTCAGTATGAGGTTTGTAGACCCCATTACTGCAACGGGGTGATAGCTGGCATGCATTTTGGCACTAGCCCACCTTGCCACAGAGTACCTCAGCAGAAAGGACTACTTTTCTGTGCTTATACAAGCATTGGTGGATCACTGGGGATGCTTCACTGCTATCAATGTGGGCTGGTCAGGGAAGGTGCATGCCGCTCACATCTTTAAGAACACAGGCCTGTTCAGAAAGCTGCAAGCAGGGATGTACTTTCCTGACCAGCACATTACCCCTGGTGATACTGAAATGTAAGTAGTGATCCTGGGGGACCCAGCCTGCTCCCTGCTCCCCAGGCCCATGAAGCTGTACACCGGCCAGCCTGACAGCACCAAGGAACAATTCAACTACTGGCTCAACAGGTACAGAATGTGCTTTTGGTAGACTGAAGGGGCGCTGGCATTGTTTACTGAACAGATTGGGCCTCATGCCATGGAGGAGAAGGGAGCTAGGCCAGTGGCATTCATGCCATGTCGTACAGAAAGATCTGAGGCACAGCAGTGGATCCTTTCCCCCAGGAAAGCATCATAGGGAGAGTGGAGCTGGCATCAGCCAGGCAGTGAATCAGGAGTCGGACTCTTTGGTGGAGGGGCCCCTGCTCTGCTGGAGAGCCTTGGTGGAGCAAAGCCACTGGGAGAGAATCACCAGCATTAGGCCATGCCACAACACATCCCAGCATGGGAGGGAATGGAGAATGAGGGCATCTGACAGCCCATGGCCCCTGCTTCTCCCCAGAGACACCCCTCACCCCAGCCTGTCAGCAACCCTGCCTCACACTGCCAGCCACGCCGACAGGCTAGGCATCCCATCCCACCCAGCATCACGCTCACCCCTGACAGGGAGTGACACTGCCCCCTCTCCAGTGTGAGGCTGCAGGTACCCGCTCCAGAACCCCGCAATACCTCCTCCAGTGCCACCGAAATAATCCCGCCAGCACCCCCCAAATACCTCCACCAACTCCCCCAGGTAACCCCTCCCAGTACACCCGCCTCCAGTGCCCCCCAAATATCCCCTCAGTACACACACACCCCTCTAGCACCCCCAAATGCCCCCTCCCAGTACACACACACCCCTATAGTGCCCCCAAATACCCCCTCCAGCACCCCAATACTCTCTCCAACACCACCCAAATACTCCCACCAGCATCCCCCAAATACCTCTGCCAGCACCCCCAGATACCCCTCCCAGAACACACACACACGCCATCCAGCACCCCCCAATACCCCATCCAGCGCTCCCCAAATAGCCCCGTCAGCACCCTCCAACTGTACCCCCCCCAGCACCCCCTCCCCGGGCAGTGTCCTCTATGTGGGAACTTGACATATGGTAACCCTAGGGGTCACTCAGAGTGCCCTGCCAGCAGCAGCCGCCTGCTCCCAGCATCTGGGCTGGGCACTGTACTCACGGCAGCCTGGGGCAGGGCAGTCAACGGGTGCAAGGGGTCGTTCCGCTGTATACAGGGAGTGTTGGGAGGTTCCTGGGCAGTGTGAGAGGTGTGACGAGGCTGCTGAGAGGCACGTGCCTAAGGGGTTGAGTATTGCTGGGAACACCTCGGGGCGCATCTCAGGGCAGCCGAGCTCCGCAGCAGGGGCCAGCTCCAGGGGGCAGTGGCAGCCGGCGCCGGGCTCCTTCGGGGCAGAGGTAAGAGTGTGTCAGGGGCATAGCTTGGAGTTGTGCTGCCCACCCTGCCTGGGGTGTGCCTGGCACTGCAGAGTCAGCCTGGCTCTGGGAGCAGGGCAGGGAGGGCTGCCAGGCAGCCAGCCAGCCAGCGCCCCAGTTTCCACAGCGTGAAGAGCCAGGAGTGGGCCTGGTGGCTCCCCGCAGCTTCCGGTCCGCCGGCTCCTGGTAGAAGGTGATGATTTTTAAACTGTGGGGCGTGTCCCCTAGGGAAGTGTGTGCCACAGAAATCAGGGGGGGTGCGGGGTGTGTGGACATGACTCCATGTGCCCCTCCACATTCCACCTCCAGGGGGGCGCAAATATTCTTGCTCTCCCTGGGCACTAAACTGCTTGGTTAGGGCTCCGTTCAAACTGCAAGTCAGAGGACAAGGGGGAGCTGCCCAGTCATTCTGGCTTTGCAGCACCTCGCCCTCATTTCCCTGGAAAGCAGAACCCTGCAGGGAAGCAGCTGATACTAACCCGCTGCTGCTGGGTTGGGCACGGGAACGCCCCCTGACTGCCGCTGCCTTTATAGAGCCTGGCTCCTGGCGTGCTGCTGCTTGTGGCACTCCCCAGAGCTAGCATGTCCTCCATCCCCCAGGCCGCCTTCGTAGGCATGCTCCTCTTCTTCCTGTGCCCTGGGCACCGAACAGGTAAGCAGCAGAAGCCATGCCGGCTCCCTGTGAGCGGGACTGCAGCGGGCGTTCACCCGAGGACTCTTAGCTGTATCTTTTCCCATGCAGCCCGGCAGACCCAGGCAGTCCATGTGCCTACGAGGTGCACGTGCTTGAAGTTCCAAGAGAAGGTTGACCCCAGAATCATAAGGGATTTCCAGATCATTGAGAAGGGAGCCCACTGCCACCGCCATGAGATCATGTGAGTAGCGTCTGGCTGCTATGCCAGCCAGAGTCCTCACTTACCCCCTCCCTGCCCTTGGTGGGCTGTGATTCAGGCTCCCTTGGTTGAGAGAACCCGCCATAGCCATGGCCACCCTCTGTTACCAGCAGCAGCCTTCCAGCTGCTTTACCCTTCTCTGGGGCCTCTACACCCCCCGCCCAGGCCAAAAGCATCTGGCCGTCCTCCTTCCCTGCCTATGTCGCCCCACACCCAGCTATCACAGGGCCCAGCCCCTCTGCTTTCCCAGGGAGGGGAGACCGTGAGTAGGCTCCCTGGGTCTCAGCACCAGGCTTCAGGGAAGTTTCACCTGGACGGGTGTGACTAACATATCCATGTGGAGGCTGGGGGGGGAGGGGGGAGTGGGGCTTCCTCTGCCCCACTCCCAGTCACGTATCTGATTGTACTGGTGTAGTAGTACCCAAGGGAAACTAAGGCATGACCCGTGTTAGCCAAAGACAGTAAACTAGTAAAACTCCCATGCAACATTACCAGGTTAATACTCCCTACTCTGTCATTCATAGGGCAAAAGCCACTCCAAGCACTTCTTTAGAAAAGGCCAACACTGTAGACAGGAAGGTAAACAGCTTTTCCTTTGTACTACAGGCCCAGGGGAAAACCCCTCCTTCTCTCCACTAGCCAAGCTATTTACATTGCCACTCTCTTGGCTCGTTTCGTTCACGCCTTGGCTGTTGCAGGGACAGGCACTGAACTTTGTCTTAAAACGTGTTCTTGTTTACCCAGTGTAAATCTGGAGTGACTCTCCAGATCAGAATCAGGCCCATGATACTCGTCTGCCTGACAGCAAGACCCCAGCTCCAGCACAGGCCCCAGGGGCACCGCCAGGGTACTGGGCACTGCAGGGGACCAAACGTATCTGCTTGTCTTCCAGATTAACTGTGAGGCTCTGGGGAGCCCAGAGAGAAACGTGCCTCGACTCATCCAAGAGGCAAGGGAAGAATCTGCTGCACTGCTGGAAGAGGTCAGTGCTCGGAGCAGTGGGCCCTGACCCCAGCTGGCAACTGCCAGCACCTGCTCCTCAGACTGGCCCTTTGCTGTGTGCAGCGGCAGCACTGGGCCATATTGCGATGCTGGCTTCACAGCCGCCCGGGCCGCAGGGAGGGCAGGGGGGGTCACTGCAAGCTGCCGCCAGTGTACAGAGAGCAGAGCCTGGCTCTTTTGGCTTGTCCCTCTGAGTCCCAGTGGCTGAGAGGCCCTCGGTCCTGCTCTGAAGGAGCCTCCTTCTCTTACAGAAACCTGAAGGACCACAGGAAGCAGCACCACTGCATGACAAGAGGGCAGCGACGCAGGACCAGGCCAAAGCAGTGAGCACGATGCACAGGCAAGGCCAGGCTCTGGGCTCCAGGGGCAGGCCTCCCACGGCTCCCCCTGCACGGGGACTAGCTGTGGCCACGCAAGATGAAGCATGAGAGAGACAAGCTTTTTAGCTACACTCAGCTCTTCTCCAGGTGTGGAGAGTGGTGTCTTACAATGTAAAGCCCTTATGAGGCACAGTCTGTCCCACCTTGGTTTCCTTCCCCAGACGTGAGGAGAGAGCTCTGTGAAGCTTGACAGCTTGTTCCTCCTCCCCCCCCACCAGATAATAAAGGTCCATTAAACCTTCTCTCTCCGTCAGTATTTCTTCTGTGTACCAGCTGTCTCCTCGCCTGCCCAAATGGCTCCAGCCCCACCACAAGAGGGCTGCGGCAGAACCAGGCAGGAAGGATAAAACAATAGCTGAGGGCCATACATCCCTCTCAAATGGACCAGTTCTGCAGAGAAGGTGGTTTGGCTGGGTGGTTTGAAACCTCTGCCCAAGACAACATTGATGAAGCTGCTTGATTCTCAGTGGGAAACATCCCTGCCCACAGGGGCCCTGCTGCCTCGAGCTGGCGCCAGGGCTGTGCGGCCAGCGCTGAGGAGAGAGAGCTGTTAATGGCAGACGGAGGGGGCACTGGTTGGCTCAGCTGGGAGCTGACAGACACAGAGTCCGGGGGCAGCGAGACTGACCCAGAGACTGATGGATGGAGAGCCAGGCACTGCAGGGGTAACTTGGTGCCCAGAGAGAACAGGGCTGGAGGGGAGTGCCCAGCACAGGGAAGACACTAGACGAATGGGTCTCTGTTGTTTTTAAACCTACCTCTCTAAGCTCTGTTCACCGTTTGGGCAAATAAATCACACTGGGTTTTGGAGTCTGTCATCACTGCAAACTTCCTGAGTGCAGGCCCCTGCGGGAGCAGGCAGGTAGGGTCCATGCCTATCTGGAGCTGCTCGGGGTTATGGGTGGTGCCCCAGGAGTTGGCACCTGGAGAGCCAGTGGGCGAGCAGCTGGGTGGCAGGAATCCACCCTACAGAGAAGTGGAGCCATGGCTGGGTGAGAGCGTTCGGGGATTGCAGTCTCCTGGCTTGGACCACACCCCCGAGATACACAGTGGAGAACTTAGCAGACACCGGTTCCATTGCTGGCCACAGCCAGGGAGGGGGATGAATTGGACTGAAATTTCCCGTTTGCAGCAACTACCCTGCAAACCCACAATGCAAGAGACACTGTGCCACCTTGTGGCCTTGCCATGCCACTGCACAGCACACAGGATCCAAGCCCCCTTGCTTGGGAAACTCCTGATTAATGCAGTGGTTCAACCTCCTCTGGAACTTGGTGGACGGGGCTGGGAGGGACCAGGGAAGGGCAGCGAGGATGATCAGGGCCTGGAAAACCCCCCTGTGGAGCCAGATTGAAAGACTGGGATTGTTACCCAAGAAAGGAGTCCAAGGAGAAGGATGTGATAAAAGTGTATCAAATAATCAGTGGGACCCAGAAGGGAGATCAGGGTGTCTGTTCTCACTATCTCTTCACACCAGAACAAGGGGATACTTAAAGGCTCTGAAAGGTGGGAAATTCTGAACTAACGGTTCTTCACACAGTGGGTAGTTAGCCTGTGGGACTCACTGCCACAGGATTTTGTTGCGGCCAAAAACATAGCATGAGTCAAAGCCAGATTGGGCATTTATATGGAGACCAAGCCCAGCCAGAATGTGTGTGATGGGGCACCCTCTGCTCGCATTTTCATGGCTTTGCACACAGGCTGCTCAGGGACCTTCCTTCTGTAGCTCCCAGCATCTGGCTTGTTTCCAGTGCTTTGCATCCCCACCTTTCTGTACTCCTGTAGCCAGGCCGTTTCTGGAGCCATTAGGTGTAACTACCCCTTCTCCTAAGGGCTGCGGGTGGGAAGCTGTCTCTCCACATGGCTGGTTCCCTTTATCTGGCCCAGCTAGCCTTTCCCTTGGGTGTCCTTCCTGTGCTCTGGGCTGGCGTGGGGTTGGGGGTCGGAGGGAAGCCCTGGTCTGGGCTCGCTCAGCATGAGGCTGGAGGCATGTAAGAGGGCTCTCTTGGCAGAACAAGGAGCTCCCTGTGTCACTCACTTACCCTGGCCCCAAATCACCCGGCTGCCAGGGAAGAGAAACCAGCTGCTGGCAGTGCGAGGTGAGCAAGTGACTGCCACCCTGGCCAGCCACGGGGTGAGGGGGAGCAGCCATGGAGCCCATCCCCCAAGCTGGTCTGTGATCCACTGTTCCAGCCCCCCACAGCATCCCTGCAGGAGCCAGCGAAGGGGTCAGCCTGGCACAGTCATGCCCTGGTCGGGAGGGGCTCAGATCCAGGACCCCCAGTCTGGGGGGCCAGGCCCCTCTGCTCTCCAGCCCCTTCGTGCCAGTCCCAAGGCAGCCTCCCACACCCACCATCTGGTGTCAGCGACCGCCTGAGGGGCGGGGCAGCGAGGAGCTTTCCCTCAGGGAACATAGCTGACACGCTGGGATAGATGGTGCATGAATACCCCAGCCTAGCGGGTTAGCTGAAGGACTCCCAAGTACTCCAATGTAACTGCACTGGGCTGGTTGGGAGGGAAACCAAGGCAAAGTTTATTCACAAAGAGCAGAGATGTGAGTGATACCAAGCTGGGAGACGCGCCAGGGCTGGTCACCACCAAACCAAACTCCACCCACTATCTGGTGACAAAAACATCATTGGAGCCAGTTACACTCTTTGATGAAGCTGTTTTCTTACTCACATCAAGGTACCGGCATCTCCAGCCCTGGGGACAAGGGGACCTGACCTTCACAGGCTCGCAGGGTGGTGCACCCTGTGATCCCTTGGCGCTGGATGCTTTTTGCTTCTTCTTGTATTTCCCAAACTTCGCTGTTCCATCCCAGAGGCAAGCCGACCCATGGCTCTTCCATCCTCTGCACATTCATATGGATACGGGCTTTCATTGCTTTGACTCTGCACTGCTCCAGTTCACTGGAGAGAGGTCGACAGCCGCCTGCACTTCCCCGCATTTGGGCATCGACTTTAAAGCAGCCCACCAGTAAGCGACTGTCAGTCATGAGAAAACCCCTGCTTACCACCTGAGATGTCTGCTGGATCTAACAAAGACTGTACCAGGGGAAAGGCTTGGGCCCAGACTAGGAATCAGTCTAGTCTGTGAAAGAAGCTTATTGGAACAACTCGGAGGGTGAGGTTTACCTGTATTCAGTTTCTTAATGTATTAGGCTTAGACGTGCATGTTTTGTTTTATTTTGCTTTGTGACTTACTTTGTTTTGGCTGTTATTACTTGAAACCACTTAAATCCTACTTTTTATACTTAGTAAAATCACTTTTGTTTATTAATAAACCCAGAGTAAGTGATTAATATCTGGGGGAGCAAATAGCTGTGCAACTCTCTCTATCAGTGCTATAGAGGGCAGACAATTTACGAATTTACTCTGTATAAACTTTATACAGAGTAAAATGGATCTATTTGGGGTTTGGATCCCATTGGGAGCTGGGTGTCTGGGTGCTGGAAACAAATAACCTGCTGAACTGTTTTTAGTTAAAGTTTGCAGCTTTGGGGGCATGGCCCAGATCCTGGGTCCGTGTTGCAGCAGGCTTGCATGTTTGGCTCAACAAGGCAGGGTTCTGGAGTCCCAAGCTGGCAGGGAAAATGGGCTCAGAGGTAATTTCAGCACATCAGGTGACAGTCCCAAGGGGATCTCTGTGACCAAACCCAGGCTGGACCCTGGTCGTCAGTCCCCAGTTCCTATCCCTGGAGGTGCTGCTCCCCTGGGCTGTGCAGGGCAGGGCAGACCTTGGCGCTGGAAGATGGACCCACCCCACTCTGTCCCAGGGCCATGCTCTAGGACACAGGAGGAGGGGGGATGGCTGCAGGGACTAAGGCAACCAGCTCTCTCCTACAAACAGCAGGCTGATGGGAGTGCTGTGTCCCTTGTTCCCGCATGACCCCACAGCTGCCCCTGGGGGGAGCAGTGGGAGATGGCATCTGATGGCCCTAGGCTGGCTCCATTCCCTGTGGTTTACCAGCGATGCTGCTGTGAGAAAGCCAAAGGCCCATGGGGCTGGGGGTTAGATCCAGCTGGCTGGGGAGCATGGCCCAGGGCTAGTCACACAGCAGCAGGGTGGGGGACCAGGGCGGATGCTGACACTCTGCTGGTACCGACTGCCTAGCACTGAGCAGATGTCCATGTAGCGGCTGGAAAATGTCTGAGAGCGAAGGCTTCGCTGTCCTGGAAATACGCTGAGCAGAGCCTGGTTCAGTCTACGGGGGCAGAGCCTGCATAGATCCCACGGGGGTGGGGCCGGAGCGGGGCTGGCAGGTGCCCAGGGGGTACTGACACATGGCCAGAGCCTGCCAGGATCCCATGGCGAGTATGCGTGTGTGTGTGTGGCGGGGGGTGGGGGGGCGCCCAGGGTTTCACCAAAGCTATTATTTGGTTTTAACTGATTTTCATCTGAATTTTGGACCACTCAAGTACATGGAAATAGTGATTAGGTTAAGAAAATCCAACCCATCCCACTAGCAGACGCCTCTCTGTTGATAGTAAGTTAAGCGCAGTGTGAATGTGAGGCTGTCTGTTAAAGGAAGGCAATGGAGTGAAAGACAGACAGACAGACAGACACAGCTGATGTACAGCTCACGACCTAAACCACAGCATGGAAGGGCTGTCACTTCACCACTCTAACTGGGCTTGATTTTGTGCTCTTTCTCCATCCCCCGCTCCCACCGCAGAATTAACCCTGATATTTACCCAGAAAACTAGGAAGTGGATTTGTTTGCCCTGTTTGCAGGGTTTGGAACACACATTGATAAAGTCCCAGGAACCGTTCTACCAGATAAAGATGGGAACCGAAGGGCTTTGCCCAGAGGTTGGTCCAGCCCCAGCAGGTGAGTAGCCAGGACAGCTCCCTGAATGCCAGTGCTGCAGCCAGCCCCAGGAGCTGGCACAGCACCCGCCAGCCCCGCCTTCCAGTCAGCAGCAGCAAGTGTTAGTTGTGGGGGGTTGGCTGGGCTCTCGGGCACCAGGACCCCACCTGGCGGGGGCTGCCCTGCTCCAGATGGGTCAGCTCTGCCCGTGGCACCTAGGCTGCAGGGGGAGCATGTCTGAGCCCTAAGGCCAGGCCCTGGGCCAGCAGGTGGGGAGCTCCAGGCTGCTGCCACTCGCCCCAGGCTGCGGACGAGGTGGGTGAGCGCTCAGAACAGACCTGTGGCACTGAGGGGCGTGACAAGGAGCGGGGTCTCTATGGGCCCGAGGATTGGGGCTGTGTCGGACGTGGTCTCCTCAGCCTCACTCTCCGCTTCATCCGGGCTCTCGCTGACAGAGGGGATGATCCTCACCAGCTTCTCCTGGAAGTGCACCTGCTTGCCCGGGGCCGGGGTGGGCGGAGCAGGGGTGGGCGGGGTTGGGGCAGGCTCAGCCAGCCAGCCCGCACTCTTGTCCTCACTGCCCTTCAGGATGCTCTTCATTTGGCCGAGCAGGGAGGCGCGCTGCTCTCGGCGCCCCCCGGGAAAGGTGAAGGTCTGCTCAGTGTCACCACTGCCTGTGGAGGTTGCAGCCGTGGCACAGGGGTCCACATACTGCTCCAGTGGCCCCCGCGCCTCCCGGAGCACCGGGCTCTTCTTCCGCTTGCTCAGCAGGAAGTAGGCCAAGCCAGTCAGCACCAGCATGGAGCCTGGGAAAAGGCACCGGAGACGAGACATGGCAAAGAGCGGGGGAGGGTTCACCAGGAAAACTGGGCCATGGCCCCTCCCTTACATCACAGCTGGGTCATGGTCCCCTCTCTGGCATCCCAGTCGCATCACAGCCAGGCCATGGCCCCCCCTGCCTGGCACCCCGGTCCCATCACAGCCGGGCCATGGCCTCCAGCCTGGCATCCTGTCCCATGAGAGCTGGGCCATTCCACCCCAGCCTGGCAACCACCTGCTTACCCCATTCCCCTGCCCCCCATGCTGTACATGGCCCCAGCGCGCTCCTCACCAGGGATGGTGACGTGCCAGACCAGGACGGGATGCAGGAAGCAGGCTACTGAGAGCAGCACATAGCCCAGGAATTTCTGGAAGCTTGCTGGCTGTGTGGTTCGCTTCCAGAAGGTGTGTGCCAGGGAGCCCGGCTGGTAGCTGGGGAGAGAGGGGCAGGCGTGGGCTTGGGCAGGGAGAGCTGGTCACCGGCACCAGAGCCACATGGCTGCCAGGGTTGGGTCTGAATGCCCCTCTGGTGCCCACCGGCCCCAGAACTCAGAGCACCAGGCCAGGCCTGGACATGGGGCTGGCTAAGGCTTGAGTGGTCCATAGAGTCCATGGAGTGCAGGGGAAACAGGCCTGAGCTCCGAGCATTCTCACCCATTCCCCAAGCCCGGGGACACAACCATGGGTGCCCAGTCCCTGAGGCAGAGGCCAGGAAGTGTGAGTGACACATGCAGGCCCTGGGGGCAGCAGCATAGCTAGCAAGCAGGGTTTGGTGCTGCCAGCAGGGGGCAGCAGGGGGCAGGCTCCCTTGGAGGTGGGTCTGCAGCCCCACCTGGTCAGCCCTGTGCCCTCAGCTGAGTGTGGGTGAGGGACAAGGGCAAGCAGGGGGAGGGGTGTGGGCAGGATGCATGGAAGTGTGGGTGGGATATATGGGAGGGTGCATGAGGGCTGTGTGGAAACGGCTCATAAGGAGTGTATGGGTGTGGGGTACCCAGAGGGCATGGGCAGGACACCCGGAGGTGGGGATGTGAGATGGGTGGAGTCCACAGGGGATATGGTTGGGGGGCATGGGCGGGGCACACGAGGGTGTAGGTGTGGGGTGGGCAGGGTGCACAGGGGGCATGGGCAAGACACATGGGGATTGGGTATAGGGTGAGCAGAGGGCATGGACAGGGTGCAAGGGGTGTGGGGTGGGCGGAGTGTATAGGGGTGTGGGCAGGCACACAGGGTGTGGGCATGGGCAGGACACACGGCGCATGGGCAGGGAGTACTCACCTGATACACATGCCCAGGAGCAGGCTGACGAAGAAGGAGACTTCGCAGATGGAAACCGCTGCCCCTGAGAAACTGAAGTGGGGGACCATGAGGACCGGGCCTGGCCACAGCCATGGGGGTGGTGGGGCCAGCGTGGGGCTCGGGGGCTCTACCTAGTGCTGGCCAGCTGGGCTCCAGAGCCTCAGCTCCCCCCTGCTCAGCCGTTGCACAGGGGAGGTCACGGCGCGCTGCGGCCCCTGGCCAGCTCCACGGGGGCAGCAGCGCTGCGTTGAGCTTGCAGGGCTGAGCTGCCCCATGTCTCACAGGGTCCCAGACTCCTACACGGTGAAGCCAGGAGAGGGCCACTCCCCACGGTAACCGCAGCGATACTCACAGCAGGTAGACAGCCAGGCTCTGGAACTGCCCGCGCTGCAGGGTCTCCGCTCCCACTCCAACCAGCACTGCAGAGAGAAGGCAGCACTGGAGTCATGGCAATGCCCACCCCAGCACCGTCCTGCCTGCTCTTCACATGGCCCTTGGGTGGGTGGGAGTGGGGAGCGAAAGCAGAGTGTCCAGTGGTTGGAGCAGAGGGTTGGAGACAAGAGGGCTGGGGTCTGTCCTTGGCTCTGCCGCAGACCTTAGGCTAATCACTGAACCACTCTATGCCTCAGTTTCCCTAATGGGGTAGTGCTGCTGCTCCCCCCACTTTGCACAGGGCATTGGGACTCCCTGGTGCTCAGTGAGCATTGGAGTCTCTGTGGCACCCTTCACTGGGAACGGCCTCACGTGCATCATGGCAAAGGATCACCAGCCCCAGAAACGCGGTCTCACTGTTGGCCCTTTCCCAGCTGTGTGCATGCACCCCACGGCATAGTGGGTACCTGCATGGGGGGGGATTGTCACCCTGGCTGGGGCTACTATCCCCTGCTCCAAGTGGTCCAGGCGGTTGCGGGAGGGGTTGAGGGTTCCGGCTGAGGGTATGGGCTCTGGGGTGGGGCCAGGGATAGGGGTTTGGGGTGCAGGAGGGGGCTCCAGGCTGGGGGATGGAGCCGAGAGGTTCAGAGTATGGGAGGGGGCTCCAGGCTGAGGCAGGAGGTTGGGGGTGTGGGAGGGAGTGAGGGGGTGAGGGCTCTGGTGTGGGGCCAGAAGTGAGAGGTTCAGGGTGCAGAAGGGACCTCCGGGCTGGGGCAGGGGGTTGGGCTGAGGGTGGGTGAGGGCTCCGGCTGGGGGTGTGGGCTTTGGTGTGGAACAGGGATGAGGGATTTGGGGGGCAGGAGGGGGCTCTGGGCTGAGGCAGGAGGTTGGGGCACAGGGGTGTGTGTGAGGGCTCCAGCAGAGGGTGCGGGCTCTGGGGTGGGGCTCGGGATGAGGGGTTTGGGGTGGAGGAGGGTGCTCTGGGCTGGGATCAAGGTTTGGAGGATGGGAGGGGGATCAAGGCTGGGGCAGGAGGTTGGGGTGCAGTAGGGGGTCAGGGGAGCTGCAGAGCCGATGCTTGGTGCGGGGGCAGCGTGCGGAGCCCCCGGCTGCCCCTACACGTAGAAGCCGGAGTGGGAACATGCTGCTGCTTCCGGGAGCCACAGGGAGCCTTCCTTAGCCCTGCTGTGCCGCTGACTGGACTTTTAATGGCCCAGTCAGCGGTGCTGACCAGAGCCGCCAGAGTCCCTTTTTGACGGGGTGTCCCAGTTGAAAACCGGACACATGGCAACCCTATCCTGAGGGTGCGCCTTGGGGGTGGGGCAGGGCCAAGGGAGGTTTTGGCTGCTGTGGGTTGGCCATGAGGCTTGTGAGTGAGTTGACCCTCCTCGGGCCCTTCATGTGCCTTGAGTCCCAGGCACCAGCAGGGCCAGGCCTGAAGTGTGGCTCTGGAGCAAGAGCTGGAGTTTGCAGGTGGGCCTGTCTCTGCTGGGCAGCCTGGGGACAAGCTGCCTGGCCTAGCCAGCAGCCCAGTCCCACGCACCGCTCAGCCTACAACACCTGGCCAGAGCAGGGAGCAGGCCTAAGTAGCCACCTTGGCCTTGGGGTACTACATTAGTGAGATCTCTCTGTCTGACTGTGTTTAAAGCGGGAGCAGCCAGACATAACCACCTAACACACGTTTGCAAATCATTGCAGGAGGCAGTGCCGAGGGCACTGGCTGTGTGAGGCAGGACCAGTGCTTTCCTTGGTGGTGTGTGTGCAGTGCCGGGCATGGTGGGCAGCCGATCCCTGGCTGGTATCTCCAGACATTGCTATAGTGCACACTAGCCATTTGAAATGACCTGTCCTGGGTGTGACAGTGCTTGGCCCCTGTCCACACAGCTAGGTTAGCAGCCTCCTTCACAGCTCAACCAAAGAGGCATTAAATATCGGTGTCTGGCTCTGATCCTGGCCAGCCCTGGCCTTTGGGGGACTCACAGAGGGAGCAGGCTCCCCAGGGACAAGCCCTTCCCTGAGGCTGCTCTGCTGCCCAGGAGTGGAGGGCGAAGCCGGGCACTGCGGTGCTTCAGGCCAGGGGAGGGGCTGGCTCGCAGGTCCCCGGATGCTGGCTTGTCAGTGGCCTGTGCTGTGGCTGCACGGGAGGCAGAGCGGTTTGTTTGCCTTCCCATGGTGCCTGCCAGGACATTGGCACAGAGCTGTGCCAGGCAGCGGGCAGCTGGGTCAGCCCTGGCTACCTCTGCGCGGCTTCGGGCCAATGCCTCTTGCAGGGGGACTGTCCTATTGCCGATGCTGCCCGGATTTGGCCAGAGCCTCCCACCTTCCTGGGGCAGGGCGAGCTGGGCAGGAGGCAGATGCCCGCTCTGCTGCTGCCTAAACTGCTGGCGTTGCTGGATGACAGGGAAGTGATGGCCTGGATGACAGGGAAGTGATGGCCCCAAGCCCAACGTCCACAGAGCAGGACTAGTCTGACCATCCACGTGTCACGGGCCCACTGCCCTGAGCTGAGCCCGCCACTTGGGTTTGACTGAAGCACAAAGTCTGGAGGCTGGCTCTGACTCCAGCTGGGGAATGTGGATCCTGCAGTTTGGCCCAGGGCCCATCTCTACCTGATGCACATGGGCACATTCGCAGCATGAGGCCATGAGCCCCTTCCCTGCCCATCTCCTCAGACTCTGCCCTGCACAGACCTGCTGCTCCCTTTCTTCCCCCACTCCCCTGGCGGGGTCTCTCCCTCCCTCTGCACACAAGGATAGAAAGGGATAAACATTTTCCATTCGTGGGGGCAGGGGGTCAAGCCAAGACCCATTGACTTTGTTCCCACCAGGTCAACACTGACAGCCTCAGAAGATCCCACCTCAGTCTATCCAGCTCCTTTTAGCCTCCTCGCCTTCCTGGTCCTAACCACCTAGCCAGCCTTCTTGGCCTCCTCCCCTGCTGTTCAGTGCTTGTCCTTACTGAAAGGGCCTATCTCACTGGCCTCGGCCTCCTGTCCCTAACAAGCCCAGCCCTGGCTACCTTGGGGCGGAGGATCAGTAGCGGCAGGAGAAAGCATGCCAACCATGCCAGCTATGTTAATAGTGGCTGTAGCCATGGTGATAATGCCACTTACTAAACAACAGAAAGCACAAAGATGGGCAGGCGGCTTAGCAGCCTGGAATGAGCTGTCGCTCCGTGCTACACGGTGCGGCCTCTCGGCCCACACAGCCAGGCAGGGGATTATGCACTAAGGTGGATTAAGGGCCTGAGCGCATTGAGACCCTTCCTTGGCTTGCAACTGGGGCCCGGGAGCTGAACTCCCAGGAAAGCTCCAGCCTGCCTCGTTAACCCCTGAAGGGAAGGGCAGGATGAGTGTGCTCCTGGGATGGCGAATGGGGGGGAAGGGCTGCAGGGGGCTCTGATCCTCACAAAGGCTGATGTGTGATGTGAAAACAGAAGTGTCTCCCAAGCCTGTGGCATAACTCCCTAGGTGTGTAACGCACAACACAACCGCACACTGTGTGGGTCCCAGCTAAGTCAATGAGCTTTGTGCTGAGAGCACAGCTAGGTTCCAGATACAAACGTGGCTAGAACCTAAATCCTCCTGCTCCAAAATCAGACATCCCTTCCACTCCGGCTAAAGGAGAATCACTGTCAACAGTGAGTAAGACACACAGGTGTTCAGTTCTGGGTTCCTTCCTGCAGTGGGGAGCAGTGCACACAAGCCTGTTATACTTCTAAATGGAAGAAAGGGGAAATCGTTAATAATGAATATAAATCAGAAGTTAGGAATTGTAGAAAACTGATATGGGCAGCAAAGGGACACAAGAAGACATAAATGGCCAGCACAGTTAAGGACAATAAGAAGTTTTAAATATATATTAGGAACAAAAATAATATTGACAATGGTGTCGATCCACTGCTAGATGGAAATCCTAGAATTTTCAATAATAATTCAGAAAAAGCAGAAGTATTCAATAAATATTTCTCTTCTGTATTTGGAGAAAAAACAGTTGAAACTGTCTTATCATATGGTGAGGATAACCATCTTTCCATTTCACTAGTATCTCTGGAGGATGTTAAACAGAAACTACTGAAGTTAGATATTTTAAATCAGCAAGTCCAGATAACTTGGATCCAAGAGTTTTAAAAGAGCGGGCTGAGGAGATTGCTGGACTGTTAATGTTGATTTTCAATAAGTCTTAGAGCACTGGGCCCTGGTCTACCCTAGGAGTTGAGGTCAAATTTAGTGGCGTTAAATTGATTTAACCCTGCACCCGTCCACACGATGAAGCCCTTTTTTTTAACTTAAAAGGTTCTTAAAATCGATTTCCTTACTCCACCCCCGACAAGGGGATTAGCACTTAAATCGGCCTTGCCGGGTCGAATTTGGGGTACTGTGGACGTAATTAGACGGTATTGGCCTCCGGGAGCTATCCCAGAGTGCTCTATTGTGACCGCTCTGCACAGCACTCTCAACTCAGATACACTGGCCAGGTAGACAGGAAAAGGCCTGCAAACTTTTGAATTTCAATTTCCTGTTTGCATGGTCACCTGCAGCTTGCCACGCTGGCCAGAGCTCATCAGCAGAGGTGACCATGATGGAGTCCCAGAATCGCAAAAGAGCTCCAGCATGGACTGAACAGGAGGTACGGGATCTGATCGCTGTATGGGGAGAGGAATCTGTGCTATCAGAACTCCGTTCCAGTTTTCGAAATGCCAAAATTTTTGTCAAAATCTCCCAGGGCATGAAGGACAGAGGCCATAACAGGGACCAGAAGCAGTGCCGCATGAAACTTAAGGAGCTGAGGCAAGCCTACCAGAAAACCAGAGAGGCAAACGGCCGCTCCGGGTCAGAGCCCCAAACATGCCGCTTCTATGATGAGCTGCATGCCATTTTAGGGGGTTCAGCCACCAGTGCCCCAGCTGTGTTTTTTGACTCCTTCAATGGAGATGGAGGCAACACAGAGGCAGGATTTGGGGACGAGGAAGATGATGATGATGAAGTTGTAGATAGGTCACAGCAAGCAAGTGGAGAAACCAGTTTTCCCGACAGCCAGGAACTGTTTCTCACCCTGGACCTGGAACCAGTACCCCCCGAACCCACCCAAGGCTGCCTCCCAGACCCGCCAGGTGGAGAAGGGACCTCTGGTGAGTGTACCTTTTAAAATACTATACATGGTTTAAAAGCAAGCATGTTTAATGATTAATTTGCCCTGGCATTTGCAGCTCTCCTGGATGTACTCCCAAAGCCTTTGCAAAAGGTTTCTGGGGAGGGCAGCCTTATTCCGTCCACCATGGTAGGACACTTTACCACACCAGGCCAGTAGCACATACTCGGGAATCATTGTAGAACAAAGCATTGCAGTGTATGTTTGCTGGCATTCAAACAACATCTGTTCTTTATCTCTCTGTGTTATCCTCAGGAGAGTGAGATATCATTCATGGTCACCTGGTTGAAATAGGGTGCTTTTCTTAAGGGGACATGCAGAGGTGCCCGTTCCTGCTGGGCTATTTGCCTGTGGCTGAACAGAAATGTTCCCCGCTGTCAGCCACGGGGAGGGGTGAGGGGCTAGCCACGTGGTGGGGGGAGGCAAAATGCGACCTTGGAATGAAAGCACATGTGCTGTGTATGTAATGTTAACAGCAAGGTTTATCATGAAAGAGTGTACCCATTGTTCTATAAAATGTGTCTTTTTAAATACCGCTGTCCCTTTTTTTTTCTCTTCACCAGCTGCATGTGTTTCAAGGATCACAGGATCTTCTCCTTCCCAGAGGCTAGTGAAGATTAGAAGGCGAAAAAAATGCACTCGTGATAAAATGTTCTCTGAGCTCATGCTGTCCTCCCACACTGACAGAGCACAGATAACTGCATGGAGACAGACAATGTCAGAGTGCAGGAAAGCACAAAATGACCGGGAGGAGAGGTGGCGGGCTGAAGAGAGTAAGTGGCGGGCTGAAGAGAGGGCTGAAGCTGAAAGGTGGTGGCAGCATGATGAGAGGAGGCAGGATTCAATGCTGAGGCTGCTGGAGGATCAAACTAATGCGCTCCAGCGTATGGTTGAGCTGCAGGAAAGGCAGCAGGAGCAGAGACCACCGCTACAGCCCCTGTGTAACCAACCACCCTCCTCCCCAAGTTCCATAGCCTCCACACCCAGACGCCCAAGAATGTGGTGGGGGGGCCTCCAGCCACCCAGCAACTCCACCCCAGAGGATTGCCCAAGCAACAAAAGGCTGGCATTCAATAAGTTTTAAACTTTTAAAGTACTGTGTGTCCTTGTCCTTCCCTCCTCCACCACCCCTCCCAGTGTTTCTCTACTCCACCACCCCTCCCAGGCTACGTTGGCAGTTATCCCCCTATTTGTGTGATGAATGAATAAAGAATGCATGAATGTGAAGCAACAATGACTTTATTGCCTCTGCAAGTGGTGATCGAAGGGAGGAGGGGAGGGTGCTTAGCTTACAGTGAAACAGAGTGAACCAAGGGGCGGGGGGGGGTTTCATCATGGAAAAACAAACAGACCTTTCACACCGTAGCCTGTCCAGTCATGAAACTTGTCTTAAAAGCTTCTCTGATGCGCATCATGCCCTCTGTGCTCTTCTAACCGCCCTGGTGTCAGGCTGTGCGTAACCAGCGGCCAGGCGATTTGCCTCAACCTTCCACCCCGCCATAAACGTCTCCCCCTTACTCTCACAGATATTATGGAGCTCACAGCAAGCAGTAATAACACTGGGAATATTGGTTTCGCTGAGGTCTAACCAAGTCAGTAAACTGCGCCAGCACGCTTTTAAACATCCAAATGCACATTCTACCACCATTCTGCACTTGCTCAGCCTGTAGTTGAACAGCTCCTGACTACTGTCCAGGCTGCCTGTGTATGGCTTCATGAGCCATGGCATTAAGGGGTAGGCTGGGTCCCCAAGGATAACTATAGGCATTTCATCATCCCCAACGGTTATTTTCTGGTCTGGGAATAAAGTCCCTTCTTGCAGCTTTTGAAACAGACCAGAGTTCCTGAAGATGCGAGCGTCATGTACCTTTCCCGGCCATCCCACGTTGATGTTGGTGAAATGTCCCTTGTGATCCACCAGTGCTTGCAGCACTATTGAAAAGTACCCCTTGCGGTTTATGTACTCGCTGGCTTGGTGCTCCGGTGCCAAGATAGGGATATGGGTTCCGTCTATGGTCCCACCACAGTTAGGGAATCCCATTGCAGCAAAGCTATCCACTATGACCTGCACATTTCCCAGGGTCACTACCCTTGATATCAGCAGATCTTTGATTGCGTGGGCTACTTGCATCACAGCAGCCCCCACAGTAGATTTGCCCACTCCAAATTGATTCCCGACTGACTGGTAGCTATCTGGCATTGCAAGCTTCCACAGGGCTATTGCCACTCACTTCTCAACTGTGAGGGCTGCTCTCATCTTGGTATTCATGTGCTTCAGGGCAGGGGACAGCAAGTCAAAAAGTTCCATGAAAGTGCCCTTACGCATGCGAAAGTTTCACAGCCACTGGGAATCGTCCCAGACCTGCAACACTGTGCGGTCCCACTAGTCTGTGCTTGTTTCCCGAGCTCAGAATTGGAGTTCCACGGCATGAACCTGCCCCATTAGCACCATGATGCCTGCATTGCCAGGGCCCATGCTTTGAGAGAAATTTGTGTCCCTGTCCTCATCACTCTCGTCACCGTGCTGACGTCGCCTACTCGCCCGATTTCACTTTGCCAGGTTCTGGTGCTGCATATACTGCTGGATAATGCGTGTGGTGTTTAATGTGCTCCTAATTGCCAAAGTGATCTGAGCGGGCTCCATACTTGCCGTGGTATGGCGTCTGCACAGGTAACTGAGGAAAAAAGGCGCGAAAAGATTGTCTGCCATTGCTTTCACAGAGGGAGGGAGGGAGGGAAGGAGGGCCTGATGACATGTACCCAGAACCACCCGCGACAATGTTTTTAGCCCCATCAGGCATTGGGATCTCAACACAGAATTCCAATGGGCAGCGGAGACTGCGGGAACTGTGGGATAGCTACCCACAGTGCAGCACTCCGGAAGTCGACACTAGCCTCAGTACTGTGGAAGCACTCCGCCGAGTTAATGCACTTAATGCCCTTAGGGCATTTTGTGTGGGGACACACACAATCGACTATTTAAAAATGATTTCTAAAAAACCGACTTCTATAAATTCGACCTAATTTCGTAGTGTAGACATACCCTGGGGAAGTTCCAGGAGACATCGATCCCAGGCAAGATAATGGAGTGGCTGATATGGCACTCAATAAAGAATTAAAGGAGGGTAATGTAATTAATGCCAATCAACACAGGTTTATGAAAAATAGATCCTGTCAAACTAACTGGATATCTTTTTTTGGTGAAATTACAAGTTTGGGTAATAAAGGTAATAGTGTTGACATAATATACATAGACTTCAGAAAGGCATTTGACTTGGTACCACATGACATTTTGATTAAAAAACTAGAACAATATAAAATTAACAGGGAACACATTACATGGATTAAAAACTGGCTAACTGATAGGTCTCAAAATGTGATCATAAACAGGGAATCATGGAGTGGGTGTGTTTCCATTGAGATCCCACAGAGATCAGTTCTTGGCCCTTTGCTATTTAAAATTTTTATCAATGACTTGGAAGAAAACAAAATCATCACTGACAAAGTTTGCAGATATCTCAAAATTGGGGGCGTGGCAAATAATCAAGAGGACACATCACCTAGCAATCTGGGTAGCTTGGTAAATTGGGTGGAAGCAACAATATTTGTTTTAATACAGCTGAATGTAAACATGACCACATGGGAACAAAGAACGTAGGCCTTACTTACAGGCTGGGGGGCTCTATCCTGGGAAGCAGTGACTCTGAAAAAGATCTGGGAGCCATGGTAGATAATCAGCTGAACATGAGCTCCCAGTGTGATGCTGTGGCCAAAAGGGCTAATATGATCCTCAGCTCCATAAACAGGGGATTCTCAAGTATTTGGCACTGGTGTCACCACTGCTGGAATACTGTGTCCAGTTCTGATGCCCATGGTTCAAAAAGGATGTTGATAAATTGGAGAGGGTTTAGAGACGAACCACGAGAATGATTAAAGGCTTAGAAAACCTGCTTTATAGTGATAGACTGAGTGATCTGAGTCTATTTAGCTTAACAAAGAGAAGGCTAAGGGGTGAGTTAATTGCAGTCTGTAAGTACCTACAAGGTCCTGTGGGTTCACATCTGCTCTGCCAGACCGGGGCTTTACTTGGGATCTCAGGGGTGCCACACTCACACCACAAGGGTGGACAGGGGATGAGGCTGGAGTTTCACAGCGAAGCCCTTTCACTGTATAAATCGACAGGTGGGTCCTGGCACAGCAGGGTGTTCGGGAAGGGTTTCCTGGCGCCCCCAGGCCCTGATCGGCCCACATACTAGTGGAGCCAGAGCTTACTTTGTGAGTGCACCTGTGTGGGTCTACATGGCGCCGAGATGGAGGATGACCATGCCCGAGAAACCAATGCAGAGGATCTGTCTGGTGACTGCATGGGGCAGGACGCTTGGTGGCTTGGGCGGGAGGCGTTGAGCCTGGAAGAGCTGCTTCCAGTAGCATCCTGCGCCTCTTTGGGCTGACTGTCCTGGGGTGTCACTGGTCAGTAACTCACCCTCTGGGACTTGCCTGTGGGGGGATTCATGGAGGCACAGGGTGAACTCCTGACCCCACGGCAAAACTCCCAGGGACTGACTCAGTGGGAAAGGGAGTAATCAAGATGGCTGACGTGGCAACATTCACAAAATCTGGCATGAGTAAGCACAGCTATCCCTATGGTCACAGCCACCAAGACACAGCTGGGTGTGTGTCCCTCCCACCAAGTGCTGGTTCACAGGCGTGGGTTTACAGTGACCCCTGCTGGTGGGAGCACAGAAGGGCATGCAATGCAAATGGGCCCTTTGCTTGGGGATCTTTGGCAATGCCTGGTATCATCTGTGGTTTCCGTCCCTATGGACTCAGGCACATCTGTTGCACCCATTTCATCTCAGCTCCGAGTCACTAGCTCTGGGTACAGGAGAACTGCCTCCCGACGGCTAATGTGCCCACCATAGACCATCACCATGGGAACTGAAGACACTGGCTTGACTCCAGAGCAGGTCAGGAGCGCCATTGGCTATTCTGATGCCTTTATACAATGTGTCGGGTCCTAGGCCAGTTCCTGGGGACACTGTAGCATAACTGGCATGAGCTGGCCTGCTGATCAGCTCCCCCAGCTGAACTGTCAAGGAGTGAACTCCCGTCGTGCTCCTTAGAGGTGGTCTCTCCAGCTCGGAGCTGGGGGGCTGCCCTGCTGGCTCTGTGAATGGGTACAAGACTTCTGTCTCTGTGCTGTTCTCCGGCCCCTTGCACCAATACTGACATGCTCTGGGAATCTGAGCACAAAGCGCAGGGGTTTGCTGCCCTGGGGCTGTGCAGGCCCCTGGATGATCATCACTACAAACGCAGACAGAATTGAGTGTGGGGGAATTCAAAGCCAGCCAGCAGGCCATGCTTGGGAGCAGGACTGGTCATCTTCTTCTTTATTCAATCTTTCTTCCAGCAAGTGAATGGTGCAGGATTGCCTCCTGATTTCTGCTCCTCTCCTGATGATTCAGAAATGTGGCCTGAACAGTTTGGACCAAGGATCATCAGCCTGGTGGCCTGTTTGCTTGGGCTATTTGCTGTCTGTGGTCTGAGCTATGTCTAAGGCACAGGCACAAAATTATGAATTAAACAGTTTAAACAGGAGAATTTGGAACAACTAACAATCCTCCTCCCAGTACGGATTTTCAGCAGAAGAGTCATCTTTGCTAAACTCTGTGAAACTTTCGGGTTTCCCAACCATTCCCACCAATCACAATTACTGACCATCAACAAACCACATGGCTCCACCAACCATGGGGCTGCCTGATCACTGACCATCAACAAACAACACAACTTCACCAATCACGGGGCTGCCTGATCACTGACCATCAACAAACCACATGGCTCCATCAATGACGGGGCTGCCTGATCACTAACCAACAACGAACAACATGGATGCACCAATCTCGGGGCTGCCTGATCACTGACGATCAACTAACAACATGATTTCACCAGTCACGGGGCTGCCTGATCAGTGACTAATATGGCTCCACCAATCATGGGGAGTCAGCGCGCTCAGAGCTTGGGGTGGTGGGGAGGGGGATATTTTTTGCCTCTCCAACTGACTCTATGGAGGGCCAATCTATGGAATCCCCCAACACCATCCAGAATCTATGAGCGAGGCTGATCCATTAGCCTCTTCCTTTGGCAAGTCTGTTCGGATGGCTCTGAGCTCTGGGGACTCTTTTCCCTGTGGTCTCCATTTCCTAACCCTTTTAGCATTAAAATAATGGATGCAAAACCACCTGTACCTCATTGGGCAGCGAACACCATACTGAGCTGGCTGCTCCCTCCCTCCAGCGACAGCCTCAGACAACATAGGGAGATATGAAACATGGAGACCCCTCGCTGGGGTCTTTTGGGGAAGGCAGGTGACACTGGGCAGAGCCCAGAGTGGAGAGATGGAAAAGTACAGGGCTCTGTAGCGCCGTCCAAGGCAGTGTCCACATTGCAGGGGTGCTGACTTTTGCTAATTTCCAGAGGAGCTAGGGAAGACAGCACAAGATACTGCAATGTAAACACCATCGCCATGAGAGAGAGAGAGATTACACTCCAGGAAGACGTCTCAACATTGTAACCTACTTATGACTTCAGCTCTTTATCCTCTGTTGGCACATGGCACTGGGGTTGGGCTGTCTCCTGGGCAAGCATCCACTATTATCACTGGAGCCTTAGGGGAGAGTGTGAGCCTTACTCTGTATGTGTGTGTGATCGAGGTCTGCATAGCTGCGATCCAGCTTGTCTCATGCACAGGCTCACCCCGCTGTGCTCCTATGTGCCAGTCTGTAAGAGCCCCAGAGGGGAGAATCTCTCCAGTCTGTTTGCCCTGCAGCATTGCCCTTTCTATCGGTGCCTGGCCAGTGCAGTTAGCTGTGGGGAGTACATTCCGGAGCCAGCAGCCAGCGCTTTAGCTGTGTGCCGTCCGTCCATGTGTTCAGCCCCAGGATTGTGCTCGGGGTCGGCTTAGTTGAGCTGACCTCTTTGTCTCTTGCCCCCTGTTGCCCCATGGCAGTGTGAGGTGTCTCCCAGAGCCTGCTGCTGCTCACCTGGGAAATGCTGAGACACACGGGTTTGCAATGCCCTACTCCGGCAAACTAGCATCTGGAATGAAGCAGGATCTGCCAACAGGACCCACTTGCCGGCTCGAGTGAGATTCTGCACAGCTACATCACCCAGCCAAGAATTACAGAAGCAATCACCTTCAGCTCCCAGGGGTAGGTGTCATTGTCCCTGCTTTATAGATGGGGACACTGAGGCACAAAGTGATTAAGTGGCTTGCCCAAGGCCCCAGCAAATTGGTGCCAGTGCCATGAATAGAATTTGTTGCTCCCGCCCCCGCCCTCTGCACTTGACTCTCCCCTTCAATGCAGCAATTTTTACCTCTGATGGCTATTCTACACCATTGTGGTTTGCAGGGGGAGATCTTCTGCACATTCAGCCATGGAGATGCCAGCTCAAATATTCCCTTTTCAGCTCTCACCTGGTATGTCACCCACAGCCAAAGGCAACCTCCTCCAACCAAAATTTGGTCCTTCAGCCTTGGTCATTTGGCAGAGGGAGCCATGTAAACAGGTGGGGGAGTCTATGATGTTTGCATTGCAAGGAAAGAGCAAACAGCTCCCTGAATCTGCTCTCTGACAGCTTTGTAGGAAGGCAGAGGAGCAATGCTGCAGCAGCATGTTCACCAGCGCTGGGGCTCTTCTCTTCATCCCGCTTGGGACAAGACAGCTTTTCCCCTGGCTTTGCTCAGAGTTTGGAGCAGCCCCTTCCACTGAGCATGAGGACCTTCCCTCCATGGATCCAGGTTACTCTGCTGCCCCAGCCCATACCATGGGAAACTAACCTTCCTTCCCAGCAGCAGTCCCTGTGGCCTCCAGCTTCCAGGCATTGCTGAGCCCCATCCAACAGCCCCACCTGCCAGAGGACGCACCCACTGACACTTAGCAATGAGGAGTAACAACATCTCACGTTTCGCTTTCTAGGCCCCAAGGCTCATCATCCCCAATGGGCAGATGGAGGAAGGGAGGGTGGCACAGTCACAGCCAGGAATAGAACCCAGGTGTCCGGATGCCCATGCACCACCTATTACTTTGCTCCAGCTGTCGACTCCCTCGAGCACAAAGGGCGACGCTGCCTCTTACCTGCTGCCGTGGAGATGCCCAGCAGTCGGCAGGTGTATTCCAGTGCAGTCCAAAAGGCCCGGTGCTTCATGGCTCCAGGAGATGAAAGCCTTCGAGCCACCGGCTGGAATTCCTTCCCCAGCCTACATGCCTCCCTGGCCAGCTCCTTCTGCCGCCCCACCCAACCTTCCCAAGGCAAAGGCCCCGCCTGGGTCAGGTGCTGGCAGTGGAACAAGCTGCCACCACAGGGAACCGGTCGGCACTGCCTGCTCCAGCTCCCCGAGGGGCTGGGAAGTGCTGGCCTTCTCCTGGCTGTTTGTTTGTTTCCTGCATTGTTTGGAGGGCTGCGATTAATGATTGCCCAGAGGAGCGGCCCTGGAGCCGGTGGGACAGGCAGCAGGGGGCATTGGGCCTTTCCTCCTGCTCCCGGCTGGGGCAGAGCAATCTGATTAAATGTCACAGAAAGGCCTTACTGCACCACAGCTCTGGCAGCTCAGATTAACCACTTGGGAGGAGGGGGAATGTGGGGATTTGGTCTCCGCTTGACAGCAGCCTGTTGCTGGCAGTTCCTCAAGGATTGAGGGCATCCCGCAGACCCAAACCCCACCTGATCCGTGCTGTCAGGCTGCTGGCTGAGGATTTCTCTGGGCACCAAGCACCCGGCTTGGAACACCCGGGGGAGCACCCAGCACCACTCAGGGTGGAGAAGCACACACAGGGTCAGGGCGGGCACTCAAATTTATTTGGATTGTGTTGGCCCTGCAGAGCCAGCCTGGCCGCGGGGCAGGGAAATGGAGCGTACAGGGCACATGTGCCAGGCTGGCACTGAGGACAGCCCTATGGCTCTGGTTTCACCAAGAAACAAACACGGAGCTCCCAGTTCCTCTCTTGGAAGCAGAGTCCCCCGCCAGCATTTACACCATGCCCTGGGGGCCACCTTGTCACCTCTGGCATCTGCACAGGGAGGCTGGATGTCACCCAAGAGGCGGCTCTGTGGTTTGATGTCTGGAGCAACGCGTCTATTCCAGGGGCATTTCACGTCTCTGCTGCCAACAGGCCAAGCGCAAAGGCCACCGCAGGAGCAGAATGCTGGGCATGTTCCCGCTCCTGTCAGTCAGCCCGTTGGTTCCCCACCAAGTGCTGTGTGGGAGGAAAGCACGGGGCTCATTGGGCACAGACTGTATGAGCTGGGGTCATGCATTGCCGCAGCACCTAGAGGCTTCTGCTGAGCTCAGGGCCCTGCTGCACCCGGCGCTGCACACACTCCAGGAGAGACAGGACTGTCTGAAGGGGCACAGAACAGCGCAGAGATTGCCCAGCAGAGGCAGAAACAGAACAAGCGCTGCCAGGCTCGTCTCCTGCCCACTAGCCCACACAGCCTCAGGAACGGCCGGTGTTTCAAAGGGCAGTTGCTCAAACACTCCACTGCCCCCGGCGCCGGAGCCCAGCTCCCTGCTGGTGGCTGCTGGCTCTGTGAGTGCTGGGCTGGCTAACTCTCCTGGGGTGGGGCTACCTGGTGATTGGCCCTGCTGCTGATGGCCCTACCCTAATGCAAGCACGAGGGAGAGGCTTTGGGAAGGGCCGAATCATGGGTGCGAGTGGGGGAACCAGGCTCTGTGGGCACTGGGTGCAGGGGAGTGCCGGGCACTGCGGATGCACTCAGCACACATAGATGGTGCAGACCAGCTGCTGCTGTTGGATGCAGGACACCCTGGGCCTGTGAGCCCAACATCAGAGGGGAGCCCCAGCCAGCACATACTGCATACTGCCAGCGAGGACTGGCACTGATGGCGATCAAGAGCCGTCCTCTTAGTCATGCACCCCAGAGCTGAGCATGCGGATCCCCAAGGGGGGCATGTGTGTGAGACCCCTGACTGACCCTCCCCTTCAGCTGGCTCCTTCCACTGTCCCAGGACCGCAACAGGGACCACTGAGGCGGCAGAGGAAGCACAAGGCTCCTTGCCCAGGGGGCACTGTGCATTCCTGGGAGCACAGGGGGCTGTGGGGGAGGGGGGCAGTCTTTGTGTCTCACCCCTTGCTGGCTGGGGAAGTGGTGATTTCGGAGGCCTGGGTTAATCATTGCAGCAGCTGCAGGGCGACTCTGGAAAGGTGGCTTCCACCGTCGCCAAGGTCAATCGCTCGTGCTAATTGTGGTGCAGGGACTGTGGGCTTACAGCTAAGGCAGGTTGTCAGGATGCCTGGGTTCCACCGTGGCTCTGCCACCGACCCCCTGAGTCATGTCAGGGGAGTCACCTCACCTCACTGTCCATCAGTGCACCCCACTGTCACGTGTCCTGTCGCCAAAGGGCAGGGCTGGGGTGCGGACAGTAACGCTCCATCCCGGGGACCAGGACTGGTTGCCTTTGCACAGGAGCACGTATTTTGCAGGCTGTCATTTCCCCAGAAGCCTGAGGCAGTTGGATGCCCAAATCCCACTGGAAGGCGACGTGCTCCTGACTCCCCTACATGCCATTAGATAATCTTAGCCAAGCAGTTACAGGACCAGAGAGCGGCAGCACCACAGGGCTCCTGGGAAGCTGGGAGGAAAATTCTCCCCTGAACAGTTTTCCATTGGAAAAAAACACTTGTAAGTGGAAATCAAAAGTTTTCAGGAACGTGTCAATTCTGAAAAGTTTTGCAATGGCAAATTCTGAACCGATTTGAAAGAGAAATGGAGTATTTCGTCGAGAGTTTTGTTTCGTTTCATTTCAACTTTTTCAGTTGGTTGAATCTTTTCTATGACAGTATTTCATTATTGTATTTCAATGAATATCTTCTGCTTTCTCACAGTTCATATTTTATATGAATGTATTCTGTTTCAGCGCTCCCTAAGCAAAGCATTTTGAGACCATCAAAACACTAGAAGAGTTTCAAAGCACCCTGAGTTGGTCGTTTAAATGTTTCTGAAACAAAATATGTTGGAATTTCCATTCCACAAAAACAAAACAAAAATTTCGACTTTGTGGGTCAAAATCAAATGTGGAAATGTCGGAATTTACTGCCAGGCAGCAGTTCCATTTTCTGACCAGCTCTCCTGGGGGATTTATGCTAAGGAGCCAGATGTCTGGCTGCATCCCCACTTGTCTGAGGCTGGATCTGTAGATCTGACCAGTATTTCAGTATTCCCTTCCCAGCTGGAGCCAGGAAATGCCCACCTGACCTCTTGTGCCCTTGACCCAGCATTGCCAATCCCGGAGCTTCAAAAATCGACATCAGGCTTCCGAAAACCATGAGATTTAAAAAATAATAAGGTTGAGGTCTTTTTATTTGCTGTCTGATTTTGGGGTCCCTTTCCAAGCTTTCCTTGGTGACCCCCAATGGCCAGAAACACCCCTTTTAAAAAATGGCAGCCGAGTCTCTCCCATTCACAGGCTTCCAAGGGACATGATGAAAACCAGCAACTGCCCCGGTACAATTCCACAAGCTGGCAACACTGCATCCCTGTCCAGGCCTGAATTTCTTAGGCTCCCACGTCCTGGGACCCAACTCTGCCCAGGACACAGTGCAGCACGGCCAGCCCTGCAGACGTCTCCTAGATCAGAACTGGCACATTCACAACTCCTCAAACCAGCCTGTGGGAAACCTGCGGTGCCCGGCCTGTTCTCAGACGAACGCCTTGTGCCACTGTGCTGGGCAGGGGCATGGGGAGGGGCGAAGGCCACCCTTTCAGCTGACACCTGAGGGAATGAGCAGGACCCCCGAGCTAAAAGCAGGCAGGGGCTGTCACAGACTCGCATCCTCTGTGGATTGGGCACAGGGGGACCTTTCACACCCGCCCAGCCAGCAAGAGACTGGACTATTCCATCCAGCCTGGCCTGAAGCTATCTATTGGCCCAGCCCCTCCCGCAGCGACAGTGACGAATGGCAGCGTGGGGTGGGGGCGCTCTGAGCCCCTGTCTTGGGTGAGATGACAATCTAGCGTAGCTGCCCCCCACGATGCTGCCACCACAGCATGGGGCCCAGAGCTGGACACTCACTGCTCCCCTCCTGCATGCCCAGCCCACAGCAAGATCAGCCCCTGTGGGGCGCCAGCCTCTGGGGGCCGCCCTGCACAGTCCGGAGCTGAGGAGAGTACAAAGGAGAGTAGCGCATGATGGAGCTGGGGCTGGGCGTGTGAGCCCCTGCTCCAGGACACAGACCAGGGCATCAGTGGGGGCGCACCAGGGCTCTGCTACGTGGCGGCCCAGTGCTGCTGCAGCACGTCAGCGTAGACCCGATGGGAGGGGTTACAGTAAGTGACCCACCACCCTGATCCAGAGCGTCTCCGGGGCTCTGTCAGCTGACCTGTGTCTCTCGGGGCGTGGGGTTTCCACCCCGCGAGAGGTTGCTTTCCAGTCACCTAGATCTGACCCAGCGAGACCAATGCCGCCATGCTGGGAGGGCATGATTGCAAGGCTGCTCAGTGTCCAGAAGGTGGCAGCAGGCTCCCATCATTGCTGTGCAGCCATGGCTGGTCCCTGGTGCGGGCTGCCCTCAGCGGGGAGAGGATCAAGGCAGGAGAAAGCTTTCCTGGCTGAAGAGAAGGAGCCGCTGCAGAGCAATGACCCCGGCGGGGTGGGCAGAATTCCAGCTTGGAGAGGAAGATGAATCAATCGGGTTTCTAACAGAAAGGCGTGCAATTCAGTGCTTGTGAGGCCCAGCCCCTGCGGCTGCCCCTCCACACACTCCCCGCTCCGGGGGAACATTCCACCGGGCCTGCCGCCTCTGTCACGGAGGGGATCAAGGCACTGCTCACACAGGACCTTGACTGTCAACCACCCGCCTGCCCGTGGGGCTACCAATCTGCCAGGATGCAAGTGGCACGGTGCTCAGCACCAGGACGGTTCACGGCATCACAGTGGGGAAGTCGGGTGGTAGGAGGTATTCTGAACGGAGGCTCGATGGCAGAGATTTTCCAAAGCACCCAAAGGATTTAGGAGCAAAGCCTACCAAAACGCAATGGTGCACAGGCTCCTAATCCCCCTAAACATTTTTGAAGCTCTGCCCCACAGCTCATCACAGCTCCCTCCCTTCGCACGGGGGGTAGGAGGGATCCCTGGCTGCTCTACCCCCCAGCAAACTCATGTAGGGTGAGACAGCTGAACCCAAAGAAAGAAAAGCCTCCCCCACAGTCCCCTGCCGGCAGAACAGACTGTGCAACTTCTCACTGGCACAGTCCCAGAGCGGGGTGGGTGCCTCAGCGGAGAGCCGGCCATGCCCAGGACGAGAGCCCATCAGAACCCCTGCATGCCCAGCCTCTTCCGCAAACATTCAACAGCCACCAAACCATGCTGGGAAGGGCTGCTGGGAGCTAGTGTCATGAACAGCCTCCATGAACAGCAGGGCCCAGTCGCCAGTGGGGTCAGTGGGCACAGCTCTGTGGGCTTGGACTGAGCGAGGCCGAATGATCCCAGCTGAAGGCCCATCAGCCTGTGTGTACCAGTCCGAGTTAAAGGGGCACCTTCCTTT